CTGGAGGCTTTGGGGAGTGCCTTAAGTGGGGCCTGGCAGGCAGGGTGCGCGCAGCATCAGCCACGGCCACTCTGCAGGCCTCTCAGAGAGCCAGGTTGCGCCTTCCCTCAGGCTGCAGGGGTCCTGAGTCCTTCAACCCAGCCAGCAAAAGCATTAAAGGTTGGACGGCTTCTTCCTTTTGAAGTAGTCTGTGTGTAAATTTACCTTGAACGCCAGGGGCTGCCAGCAATTCTTCTTTCTTTCTCCTGTTTACTAAAAGCTCCTTCAAACAGATCTTTTCTGCCAATGGCGGCCACTGCCAGTCTGCTCCTCTCCCCAGAGCCTTGCCGGGCCAGGAAGGGGGCTCTGTAGATGCCAGCATCTGCTGGGAGCCGGGGCTGGGCGATGTCAGCATCCTCCACACAGGTCTTACCTTTTCCAGAGCACCAAGACGGACAGCTTCTTTGGGAGCGAGAACCAGCCTGCCAGTGATGGAGCCGGCAGGCCGGATCAGAAACCTCCTCTGCCATCTCCAGCTGTGTGGCTTCCAGCAAGTCAGTAGCCTCTCTGAGCTGCCTTTTCCTTGTCTATAAAGTGAGGGCAATGATGGCTGGCTGGGAAGATGCTGTAGCATTAGAGATAATGCATTTATTAGTTTAGCCCATGGTAGGTGCTACGTACTGAACTATGTCCCCCCTAAATTCATATGTTGAAGCCCAAACCCCAATGAAATGGTATTTGGAGATGGGGCCTTTGGTGGGTGATTAGGTTTAGATGAAGTCATGAGGATGGGACCCTTACGATGGGATCAGTGTCCTTAGAAGAAGAGACAGCAGAGAACTCGCTCTCTCTCCCTTTCTCTGCCATGTGAGGGCTCAGCAAGAAGGCGAAAGCCAGGAAGAAGACTCTCACCAGAGCCCAACCATGCTGGCACCCTGACCTAGGACTCCCAGCCTCCAGAGTTGTGAGAAAATAGATTTCTGTTGTTAAGGACACCCAATCTACAGTATCTTGTTATGGCAGCCTGAGCTGACTAATACAGTAGGCGACTGATCCAGGATGACTGTTGTTGTTATTGTTGTTGTTATTATTTATAGACTCAAGATGGATCAGATTTCTCTAATGGGAGGGTAGAGATGGTGAGACTGTATTACGTGCTCTTTCTGGGTCCCCTCAGAGAAGCCCCCTTAGATCTGAGCCCCGGGTGGGATCTTCATAAATGTTTGTTGAATGACTGATGGATAAATGAATGGACAGATGGACTGAAAGAAGGAGACAGAAGCTCAAATAATTTATTCACCAGATGATCCCAAGGACATTTCTATGTAGCGTAAGGCCATAGGGACATAAGACATGGCAGCTAGGGCAGCCGTGGGACAGCTTGGACCAACGGCTAATTTGCCTCCAGGTGTGAAGGGACACCCCAGGAGGGCACCATCATCACCTCAGTGATCAAGCTCAAAAGGAAGCAGCCTCCTGAGCCAGGACATTGTCTACAGTCTTCAAAGGAAGTGTGGCACTCTAAGATAATTTGGAGCTGTCTGTATTTTTTCTCACTCAGATAAACCCGTTTTCATTTTTCTCCAATGACTGCTCTTTTCCCAAGAAGGACGAGACGTAACTAGGGGAAGGAAAGCATCAGAGCTGGGACCAGGGCACACCTGGGAGGGGGCCGAAGAAGCCCTCTCTGGCAGTGTGCTGATCTAGTTTTGAGCTCAGGCTTAATGAGGCTAAGACATGGCCTTGGGGGTTTGATCTGAAGATTCTCTAAAAAGGCAAGATGCCACCTAGTTGGTCCCAGCCTCTTTACACTTCGTCTGCCTCCCTGCACTGTTCAGCCGGGACCCTCTGTTGTATCAGGCTTGCCGCTCCCAATGTCACCCTGTGCCTCTGCCCGGAGGACCCAGGACTTTTCCACCTTCAAAGCCAGTGATCGCATCACTCTGACCTCTGCGTCTGTTGTCGCATCTTCGTCCCTGACTCTCCTGCCCGCCTCTTGCCCTCACGTGGACCCTCGCGGTCACATCAGCGATCCGGGAAAATCTCCCCGTCTCCACACCCTTAATTTAATCAGATCTGCAAAGTCCCTTTCGCCATGTAAAGTGACGGATTCCCAGGTTCCAGGGATTAGGATGTGGACATTTTAGGGGCTATTATTCTGCATCGACTTACGACTTGCTCGATTTTCTCTGGCATCCCTGTGTAGCTCAGGTGCAGGGATGGAGAAGATGGAAGGGGAGATTTAAAGGGAACTGAGGCTCTTCCAGAGCGGAAAAGGTGAAAGGAAAAGGGGCCGAGGACACTGAAGGCGTCGGCAAGGTTGAGTTTAAACGA